TCACCATGAACTTCTTTGAACAGGCTGGAATCTTCTGGAATCTATTCCCAACTACACACGTATAGTATAGATTGGTAGTATGTTGCTTAGGATCGAATGTATGCAGAAGAATACGTGTAGGACATAATGAGTAGGAGACTTCTTGATTTAGAGCATCCTGCTCAAATTGGAGGAGCCCTTCGGGCGTAGTTAATTAGTGATAGGAACGAAATATCCCAGGTGGATATTTTAAACTTTCAGAGTTCAGAATCAGAATTCATTTATCCCTGTAAGTGGCTTAAATCATATTGAAGTTTTTAGAGATTGGTGATTTTGCTACCCTGTATAATTATATAAAATATTTTCAAAATATAATAATTCATAACGCGTGTTCAGATTTCGATGTCACTTGGTATTATATTTTGAAGACTGTGGATTTCAGCTATCTTAACTTAATAAATAGTTTATTTTACAGTTTATACTGTACGATTGTGCATAGGTAAATATTTCTTATTATATACTATTATATATTACCTGATATACTACCCCGCTGCAACCAAAATGAACATGTTACGACCTGGATACTCTATATCTATTCAATTTTATCCGGGGTTGTTATTTAAACAGCATCATGACGTCACGATGACGTTGGTATTCATATAAAGACGTCATAGTAAAAAGACTTATACACAAGCGCAATGAGCTTATTTTTAGAGTTTATAAATAATAAATGTTGAGTCCTTTATGTTCTCACTTATTAGATGTCTTGCTAATGTATCATTTTTATAAATAATTGTTTTATTAAATCCAATAATAATTACAGACAGGCGGTTTAAATGTAAGACAATAAGTATGTCATTTTAGTGTCCTAAGAGACATATTTTTATTTAACAACTACTAAGTTACTAATTTATAATGACTAATTAAACTAGTACTAAAAACTGAAAATAAACATGGTTTTTATTTAAACATCAGATTGTCGAGTTTTAAAGGTTTTAATCTAACCACTCACAATTTTATCGAGATGCGCCTTTATCTGTTCACCATGCTGAAACTTGTGATCGCTTCATTGACTAAAGGCAGTCGCTTTGACGTTCTTGAACAGATCAGCCTCGATTGGCGAGCATGTTACATACAATAGGGCGTTTATTGTGGACCTTAACAGTTTATTCTGAGGGTGTTTAGCGGTTTAAGGATTGTCTTGTAAAGGAGGAATTTACTGACCAACTTTAGCTTGGACTTTCAACCGATCAGCCTGTATATCTGTCTAAACTTAATACTATTCTGTTTTTCTTTTAGTAAAGAGGTGTTTAGTAAAGTGTTTTTGCCAGGTTTAGTGTCTATCGAGTTTAATGGCAATATATTTTGTGGTATTTGTCTTAATTGATTGCTGACCATCTAGTGTGACTAGTGGGTATATTCGTCTAAAAAAGTTGTCGCTGTAGCGTTTGCCGCACATTATTTTTAGAATATTTACTAATAGGACAGAAAGATTCTGTTTCATTCAAACCTTTCCAAAAGTTCGCTCTGAGGAGTATAAAACGACGAAATACGTATAAACGAATGGTGGTAGTCTGTACGGGTAATTTTGCTATTCTGTACACTTGTTTAATTGTCCTGTATATTATATAATATACAGGAATGATATTGAAATATCACAAGAAAATAGCTTCAGAACAATATCAAAATTCTATAGATCATTCATATGACTGCATAAGAAATCATTTTGCAGTTCCTTCCAGTTTCTATCCTAGATCTCTTTCTAGAAATGTCTAATGTTTGGTCTTCATCTTCCGTTAAGTAACTATATTCCTAAGTATCTATATGTCTCACAATCTAAATTAATCGTAACAACAGAGTCTTAACACCGAGAAATTACTACAAAACCGATAGATCTTGCAACGTCGACATATGTATTAGTCCACTTCTATTTGGAGTTTTGGCCAGTCGACTCCCACATAGTTTAGTGAGTTTATAGTCCAGGGACATAAGTTTTTCTCATGATATCGCAATAGCCAGGCATTTGACAAGTTTTTCTTTAATGTTTATACCTATAGTCAGCAAACCGATAAGCGTTCTGCAGAAATTCGGACGTGGTTTTTTAATTATTAATAATTTAATGCGAGAATTGTCGCTTACGATTAAAGACTTTGTCTGCTACTGTCTGTCTGTTGATAGAAAAAATAGTTTATAACTTTTGTAGAAATTAACTAAACACACTTTTGTGATTGCCCTCACAAAGGGGACTTAACAGACCATCGAAAAGGTTTATACTGATCGATAGATTAGTTGGAAAATTATGAATATCTGGGGATGTTCCATATTTATACGAAAAATTGCATAAAATGCATAAACGTCAATTTAAATTTAAAAACGTCAGTAAATTGTTGATTTGTTGTTTCGTCTTTCTTGTATCGGTCCTTTTCTCCGCTGCATATGTTAGGATTGGCCTTACTGTTGTCTTGCATACTTTCATTTTGCTTTCCGTGTTCAGATATTTGTGTTTCCATATGGTTTCTCGGAGGCAACCACTTACTCTTGCCGCTTTTGTTGCTTGCTTTGTGGTCTATGTTCTTATATCCCTGTCACTAGTGATCTCTAGTTCTAGGTAATTGAATTTCATTACTTTTTCTACAATTTTGTGGTGTATTTCTAGTTTGCAGAGCTAGAGTGGAAATCGACACGTAAAAAATAAACTTCAATTTCAAACTTCAATTGTAGTTTACTGCTAATAAAAATAATAACAGTAACAGCAAAACGGTTTCTGTTTACAAAAATGAGTTTTTCTAGATTTTTTGGTAGTGAAAATTAAAACTCTTCATCTTCCATCTGATATCCGTATAATTGCCGTATTTTCATTATTTTATGTTACTACAAAGAGTTACCTCTGGAATAAATAATTTAAAACTTTTAAACTAATTGATGGATCGAGGTTTGTTGAGCAAAAGAGCACTTATTTTGCTGTTTTTATGACAACAAATTTATTTAAAAAAATTATGTAATACCGCTTTTGTTGTTTTTTCTATTTATTAACAGATAAAATGTTCATATATAAATATATGAACATGAAATATATATATATATATAGATATCTTTTTCAGAGTAAACGAAAATTCAAAAAAAATTCCGTCTTTCTAATGAAATTGTTAAAAATTAACAAACTACTCAGAAATGATTGCATAAAATGTGTAGGTTTTCTTAATATAGGTATGGATCAGCTGTTTCGTTGCCTTAACTAGAAAGTCAGTGTTTTACTAAGCACTTTCAAATGTATTTTTTTAATTTTAAAGGGGGTTAATCCCCACAATAGATGCGTTAGTCTTTTAATGTTTTTTATTGTGTTTTGTGTTGCCAATTAGTCTTCCATGGGGTATTTATAACCTTCTATAAGACGAATCTCTGACCATGGCATGTGATATGCTGAAAGTACTTCTACTACTAATTTTAATAAAAATTTTACACACTATTAAGTTTTTTGAGAACGTACACCTGTTGCTAGTTTCACCTATATTTTGTGTGTACAAGTTATGCTTTTCCGATTTCCAATTTAAATTCATTTTTCTATTAAATCTTATCTTAAAATTACAGCAACCAATATTTTTGGAAATTTTGCGAAAAAATTAATCGTAATATTAATTATATTAATATGTAATTAATATTATTAGTAATATTAAGTATACGTATCGTTTCAAGAACAAATTATGATTGAAATGTCAGATGATGGTTGTTCAGATTTGTTTCCTAGGTGGCTTAGTTAGTTACCCTACCGAACAAACAGTGCGACTTATCGTCTTAGCCTTTTATATACATAGATATGTGTATATTGCATTTTTAATATGTTTCACTGATGATGGACCAACGGGACCGAAAACAGTTTTAATCATTTTGCATAATTTTAAAATTTTTATCATAAAAATATACCATCATACATAAGCAGTTTTTACTGCATTGTAAGTTTTTTTTGTTTATATAAGGTTTCCAAATTTATGATTTTCTCTAAATAAATGATCTGCATATGTGGAATTAGATTTTCTGTTGACCAAATAAGGCTACGTTAATTGATCAATTATCTTAAACTTATTCCGACCTGAATTATAATAGTTGTGTGCCTATAAAACAAGAAGTGGCCTTATATACTCCCGAACTTCAGCTTCTATCTCTATCTTTTTTATGTATTTTCCTAAAGATTTCTTGGTTTTTAGAACGGTTTTAACAATCTTCTCATAAAGTTTGCTATATTCTTGATTAATAGACCTATACTTTTTAAAGAACTGGTATATTATTTTTATCTCATATATTAGGATTGATGAATTAAACTACGTAGACAGTGCTGGTTAGAAAATACCAGATAGATATACAGATGGTTGTTAGCACACGAAAATATTTACTTTAAAATTATCTTTCTTCTGAGCAAGCTGACGTATCACTGAAACGTGGTTGATTGATTTGAAGCAAACACTGATTTGCAGTGTTTGTTTTATGTTATATTACTTTCCACATGTTGATTTGATATCATGGTTGAAGAGACTCTTGCTGGATAAGATTTTTCCAGACGCTGTGTACATGTTTTTCTCATATCTAATTCGTTTTATTTATGTCAACAATTCAAAAAAGGTATTTAAGTAAACAACAATCACCGAGGATTTAGTTGTTTGATGTTGGGGTTGTAGTAATCGGTGGTTAAACGTATTTTCTTGTGCCAAAACTTTTTATACTGATGAATCTTCCTACAGCTTACACATATGAACGTTATTTTTCGAGGTCCCTATAGCGAAATTCACCAAACAGAGGCATGAACATGAAAAACCACCTTACACTAAGGTCAGTGCGATTAAAAAAAATACTATTTTCGAATCAGCCTCGAAGTTGTGCTAGCGATCGTGCGTTTTCGCGTCTTCGGACTGCGTCACTTCGACCTACTAACCCCATTCGAGAACCTCGCGGCACGGCTACGTCGACTTTGCCATTGAGTCGTCGGTTTTCGTGTCGAGAGCACGTACGTATACAAGTTTGCCTGTCTGCTTCTCTGCTGTCTTGGATATACACAACATTGATACGTTACGTACCCACAGCGATAAGCGGCGGAACAACCGCTAGTATTGTGACTTGTGTCTGACGCTTTGTAAAATATGAAACTGTGATTGTGATCTGTGCTGTGATAGTTCGAACTAGTGGTCAGATATGTTGGTGATTCTAGTCAAATTTTAAGATAACATGTTGGAACACAGTGCTATGTATCTCAACGTGACACCGCCATACGAAGAGGATACTTCCTTCTTTCCTGACTTTTATACTACACGGTTAGTTTATAACTCTTTATTACATATAAGAGTTTAATATATTTGTATGTATGTGTGAGGTCTTTGAATTTTGCTTGTGCTGCTTTGGAACCTTGCCAATGTCCTCTCTCTCTAGCCGAACGGATTTTACATGGATTCTTTTGTTGCTAGACGAAACTCGTTTCTCTTGGAGCGATTAAAAACACAATCTAACAATTCGACACGCAGTTCTGAATGCGACTTGGTATTTTGCGACTTCATTTGACCATTTAGCTCTTCTCTAATACTTTTTTATTTCTATATACCGCAGATACCGATTCTAAATTTCTTCGGTTCTTGAATGTGGTAATTTAGTTTTTAACTAGATATTGTACGAGGTGCCTTTAGATATTTTGCAAAAATTACGCTTTCATGCACACCTTGGTTTCACATAATAGGGTATTAGAGATCAAAGCTGTGTTTACATTTTACCGGTTAATTATCAGCACATTGTTCTCCCAGGTTTTATTTTTCTATTTTCGATCTATTACAGGATTTTACTTTGTGTTTTGGGTTTTTTTAATTGTGGTAATTTTTTGGTTATATTTTTTACTTGTTATTCTTTGTCTACTTTGTTTGCATTGTTTGTAGTTATGACGTATATTTAGTTAGTTAATTTTATAACCACTTCTGCGTTTCGGTTATTCTTAGAAACTGTACAAGGAGATGGGAGAATAAAGACACAGTTCGACCATATTTTGTAGTGTAGAGGTGACAGGATGTTGATGTAGACTAATTAAATGATGCGGATCATTTTTAGCTCCAAATTCAGGCTGTATTGATTGAATTTATTTTTCTTATCCTTAATTTCTTCGCTCTATCTACATAGATAGCCTTCTGGCTAAAATTTAAGTAGCAGTTCTTGTGGCTCATCGTAAAACATATTAGGAAAGATTTTATAACACTGAGGTCTTATTATTGTTCTGAAATTGCTTTCTTCTGGTATCCTAATTTTATTGTGGCTATCTTCTTGTATTGTTTAAGTATTTATTTTAAACACGAAGTGGAAATCAAAACGTCAAAATAACCTTATTTTTAACGAAATATTGTTATTCCCATTAAAGATACTAAATGATATCTTCATTTTTATCAAATATATTCGTTTTCTTTTACTTACTTTCGGAACAAAACATGCTTATGAAATAAAATCTTTACTTGTCAATTCGTCAACTGCAGCTTTCTTATGGTTAAAGGCATGGAAATTCCAGAATTTATTTTAACTAAGTATTACCTATTTTCTTGCAATCTTTCATAACTATCTAAATAATCATTAGTCTTTAATGATTAATCATCTAAATTATAGATGTTTTGACCAACGAGTTGGTGACATCCGTCTTGACCTTTGCTACTATAATAATTGTAAACACTGCATAAAAAGGTCTATAGACTGAGTGATCAGTGAGACTATGGCCAATTACATTAATATTGGAATGGAATGTTTTCTTTTGGTATAGTTGTTGTGTATTTGGGGGTTCCCGTTTAGGCAAACCCTTTTGCCTCTCCAGAACTTGTTTTCGGTAAAGGGGGTAGGCAGTGGTGTTTGGATTTTTCTACAACTGGCGACGGTTGTTCTGGGGTCTTGTGGAGGAGTTGTGAACGTGAAGATTATAGAAGACGGGGCATTAAGATGTGAAAGCGGCTATTTTCAGTTATTTTTTTACCGAATTGTGCCAATGTTCCATCATTATAGCTTTCATCTTAGTTTTAGAGCGGGGTCGATTGGTCAGTTGTCTTCATTTTGCTCCTTGATTTGATTAATTTTTATTTGCCTTTCTCAATGATATACCCAGCTTTGAATCTATAAGTTTTAATGACAAAGTATTTTTGTTACATATCGTGTTTTTTGCTTATTCTTTTATTTATTTTTCTAGTTTGGTTACTTTAAAAACGATCAAAGGATATATTAGTTTAAAATTATTCCATAGTTGGTTTGTTTCTTTAGCAATATTCTTGTCGGCTATTATTCGAGTTCATGAAGAGCATTGAATTTGTTCAAGCATTTTCTCGTATTGATAGTTCATAATTTTTACCTTCGATCCAGATTCAGTATCACTAGTAGATTTTAGTCATTAGTTGGATATGACGGAAGCATGCAAGTAAACATGATAAAAACATTAGAAAATATATACAAGGACAACAGAGTAATTAGCATAATATGGAATGGAGAAAATGGTAAAACCCGTAACATTGCAAGAAAGCATAAGACAAAGGAACTCTCTAAATTCATAGTTTTTCAGGGACGAAATTATAAAGGAAGCGAAAATAAATAAGGGATATACTACCGAACTCAAAATATTTTGTTATGCCGATGATACCATAATTATAGCAAAAAATGACCTTCAGAATGAATCAGGTTTACGCCACCGTCTTACAATAAAATATCTAATCTAAACTTAAGAGTCGATCCGGTGCAAAGTTATGGAGGTGGACTATCTACGAATAAAGTTATTCAGCTTATAAAAAATAACCAAGCAACATCATTAAAAACCGCCAATTTCTTCCATTTTTTTCTTTCTTGTGTCAATCTAATTTACCCTTTTCTTTTGAGGTCTTTCCATGCTTCTTGTCCTCCTTGGTCTCCATTCTAGGATTCTCCCTATCCACCTGTTATCATCATATCTAACATTTGATCGGCCCAGCGTCATTTTATTTTTTAAATGTCTTCCACGATATTTTTGACCCTTGTTCAACTTCTGATATCAGTGCTTTTAATCTTGTCGCTCAGTGATATTAGATTACTCTTTGCATTATTTCTAGTTTTTTTTAGCAGATTTCTGGGTAAGTGTATAAAAACTTTGTTCATTGACCAGTCTGCCGAAAGACATGGCTACTTTTACTTGTTCGAGGTTCTCTTATGACAGGAACCTTATTTGCGGTTTTCACAACAATAGTAAGATCTATTGTGATCCTCTAGTCCTAGATAACATTATCTAGCCTGACCCTTTTTAAAAAGTTTAATAGCTTCGAGGCTGTACCTTCCAATTAGCTATTTTCCGGTGGATTTTCTTCTCTTAATGCAAAAAACCGCACATTTGCCAGACTGTCACAGTGACACAGAATGTGCTCTGCTGTTTCTTCTTCGAGGTGACAGAATCTGCACAAATCATCATCTGATAATCCCATCAGCTTTAAGTGCCTATTCAGCTTACAGTGTCCTGTTAGAAGACCTACTATGGCTTTGACTGTTTTCCTGTCTTTGCTTATTGGGTAGGTCTGTCGTAAATTTTGGCGAATGTTCTTGTAATGAACTGTCGCCTGTCTTTGTCCTGGTGAGTTCCTCCACCATTCTAGAGATTTGTGAGCTACTCACTTCCTTGTAGTCGTTCTTGTTACTGTCTTTGCAACGCCGCAGAAGGGTTCCGGTCCAATGAATGGCATTGATGAGCTTTGTTTGGCCATTTCATCTGCTTTTTCATTGCCCCTTTGACCCTCGTGCCCCGGTACCCAGGCTACCCTAACCTTGCTACAGTCTCTTAGTTTATTTAGGACACACACATAATCCCATACTAGCTCAGAATTGACCTCTACAGAATTGAGTGCCTTAAGCGCTGTTTGACCATCTGTGAAGATGGCAACTAAACGGAACGTTTTTTCCTGCCTTTCTATTTGTTCCACGACAACGATAGTATAGTCGAGTATTTCTTTATATTAAAGATACTCAGTCGTCTGTCGAAAGACATTTTTACTTTCTATGTACTTTGTTTAAGGTGCTGACAGAGACTGTTTTGCTGTTGTTATAACCATTTTATTTGCCCAGTCTACCGAAAGACTATTTTTTCTTTATATATTGTTTACGTTCTCGAGTTCTTTTTATGCCCAAGACCATTTTGCGTTTATTATCACCATTTATTGCGCATGCAAAGCAATTTAATTGAACCCAGCCTATGAGAAATGTTCACCCAGGTAGTACGATCGGGTGTAACAATTCATTGGAGCAAGGTGTGTTAACTCGAGTAAAAACAGGAGTCACCCCACCGTGCTTCAATGCTCTAGACCATCCCTTTCTAGACCCTCCACTTCATGTGGAGGTCCTGGGTAATAGAACCCCAACATGGTTTCCTAACCGATTGCAAAAAACTCAGGATAGCGCATCTCCGCTATATTCCTGTTCACCATTTATTGCTAGTAGTAGTAGTTCTTTTATACTAAAAGATATCTAGTCAGCTTAAAGACTATTTCTTCTTCATGTTTTTTGTTCAAGGTGCTCTTCTGACAGAGACCTTTTTTGCGGTTGTTATAACTATTTTACATTGCGGTATTTCTTTTACACTAAAAGATACCTAATCTGCCGAAAGACTATTTCTTCTTTATATGCTATCACAACAATAGTAGTTGCTCTTCTGATAGAGATCTTTTTTGAGGTCAGTATAACCATTTATAGTGGACTATTTTTTTCATACAAAGATATGCTTAGTCTGCCAAAACACATCATTACCTTTACTTTAGGTGTTCTTACGCTAGAAACCTTTTTACGGTTAGTATAACCATTGACATTGTGCTATTTTTTTGCCTAAAAAGTTACTCAGTTTGTAGGGCCATTTGTCCTTTTGCATTCGTCCTTTTGCATTCGTTAATGTTTTTTTGTGAGTGTGGAAACTTAATTTCGGTTATTGCAACCATTTTTTTGTTTAATCTTTCCTGCTTGTGGGAACATTAGTAGCATATTATCGTTTTTTATTTGGGTATTTCTTTTGCTTGATAAAATACCCGGTCTGTATAACAAGATCCATCTGCCAACCGACACAGTCGTATCTTAGTTAAGGGGTAGCGACACTCTACGCTATCCCCGATTCTATTGCGGTTGCTGTATGATGAATACATCGTTTTCGGTGTCTGCTGCTGTCAATTTCCATTAGGGTAACGTACAACCACATAAATACTATTTGTTGCCAAAATTATATTGCTGTTATATCGAGTACCGTTTACTGGTATATCAATTTTGTTGCTGTTATATTTAAATAAGTTTATTTGCTACAAATTCA